CTTTGGATATTGTCGCCAGTGGCACCCAAGTTGACACAGTAATTGCATTACTTTTTATTTTTTATTTTTTGAGACAGAGTTTCGCTCCTGTTGCTCAGGCTGGAGTGCAATGGTGCAATCTTGGCTTACCACAACCTCTGCCTCCTGGTTTTCAGCAATTCCCTTGCCTCAGCCTCCCAAGTAGCTGGGATTACAGGCATGCACACCCTGCTAATTTTTGTGTTATTTTTTAGTAGAGATAGGGTTTCTCCATGTTGGTCAGGCTGGTCTCGAACTCCCAACCTCAGGTGATCTGCCTGCCTTGGCCTCCCAAAGTGCTGGGATTACAGACTTAAGCCACTGTGCCCAGCCAAATTCATTGGTTCTTTCTAGACCTCACGTTATGTGACACCTCAGGGTGTCTGATACAGCTGCCCATTCCCTCCTTCTGGAAATACTTCGGCTTCCAAGATACAAAACTCTCCAGGTTTTCCTCTTCTACCTCTAGCTGTACCTTCTTATTCCAACTTTTCTTTTTCTTTCTTTTTTTTTTTTTTTTTTTTTTTTGAGACAGAGTCTGACTCTGTCACCCAGGCTGGAGTGCAGTGATACAATCTCTGCTCACTGCAACCTCTGCCTCGGGTTCTAGCAATTCTCCTGCCTCAGCCTCCTGAGTAGCTCAGATTACAGGCACACACCACGATGCCTGGCTAATTTTTGTACTTTTAGTGAGAACAGTTTCACCTTGTTGACCAGGGTGGTCTCAAACTCAAGCAATCTGCTCACTCGGCCTCCCAAAGTGCTGGGATTACAGGAGTGAGCCACCACACCTGGCCCTCTCCCTAGGTAATCTTATTCACACCTCTGGCCTCAAATGCCATCGATGTGCCTGATTCCCAAGCTTACAACCCTATCCTAGAATTGTCTTCAGAGCTCCAGACTCATATATCCACATAGCTACTTAATTTTGGCCCTGGATGTTTCCAAATTAAACTCTTGATGTTCTCTCTCATAAGTGCTCTTCCTTTAATTTGCCCCTTTATTATTAAATGATACCGCTATCCTCTTCCATCCACCCAGCTGGTCATGCTAGAAACTCTCTCTAGCGTCATCACGACCTCTGAAAAGTTACTGTCTTTTTTCAAAACTCCAATTTGCTCTTATTTATCACTCTCTAATAGTTGTACAAAAGAGTTGTGCATTACAAACTTGGTTGTACATTAGGTGAATGATGTGGGAAGCTTAAAAAAAAAAAAAAATCCCAAAGTCCAGGCCCCACCCCAGATCAATTTAAATCAGATTCTTTAGGGGTAGGAGTGGCAGAGTTTTTTGTTTTGTCATTTTTAGGTATCCCACGTGATTCCTTTTTTTCAGATATTCCCTTTTTTCTCACCAAATCTAATCCTTCAAGTTGAAAATATAAAACTAGAAATGTTCCATTTCTCTCCAGCTCTACAGCATCCACTCTCATCTTTTGTCCAGATTACAGTGATAGTCTCCTAACTGGTCTCTTGTATCCCATTTTGCCCGCTCTGGTGCAGTCTCCGAACACTAACTTCAGTGACCTTCTGAAAATACTACCGCAATTACATCGTTCCTGTGTGTAAATTCCTTCTATTGCTTCCCACTTCACACAGGATAAAGTACAAAAATATTAATAAGAGCACCCACATACTTCTTGATTGGGCCTCTGCCTACCTCCCTAACCTTATCCCTTACTTACTTCTTTAGGCTCCATTGACATTCTCAATCTCTCCATAGAATAGGCTCTTTGCCTGCCTCAGGACATCTTCCAAAAATTTTGATCCCTCCATATTTCACATATGGAATAGCATAGGCTAGCATATGCTTTGGTAGCAAATCATCCCATCCAAGTAGCTTATGCCTAAAAAGGCTTATTTATTGCTCACCTCACAGTCTGATATAGGTTAGGTATCTTCTTAAAGAATTAAGTGGAAACTCAGGAGGTCAGAGTCCTTCTAGATTGTGGCATGCCCATATTAAAGATGTGGCCTTTGTTGTAGCAGTAGGAAGAGAAGAGAATGTGAATGATTATGCAGGGAGTCTTCTGGTCAGGGCTGAAAATGGTATCTATGATTCCAGTAGGGTCTGACCATACCCCATTGGCCAGATTGTAGTCATATGACTCTAACCTAACTGCAAAGGAGGTAAGAAAAAAAGAAGAAGAAGAAAAAAAAGTCTTCCTGTATGTCCAGGAAGAGGAAATGAGATTGGTGAACATTAGGCTAGTTTTTGCCACATCCTGGTTAAAATCTACTTGTTTTTAAAGACTCAGCTTATATAATACTTACTTACAAAGGTCTTCCAGCTCCTCTAACTGAAATTAGGCATCCCTAATACATTCTATTGTAGCACCCTGTAATTTTCCTTTACAGCATGATCACAATGGAAAGTTTTTATTTCTTTATGTAATTATTTAATATTTATATCTGTTGCTAGACTGTAGGCACTATAGGAGCAAGGACTGCATCTGATTTGCTCCCACTGTGTCTCTAGCACCTTTTGCAGTACTTCGTATAAAACTGGTATAAAAGTTGCTAAGTGAACAAATGAGCAGTTGCACACAGAGTCATTGCCTGGCTCCAAATAGCACACGACTTTTGCAGGAGAAAGACAAGTAAGTAGGCAGTCATGGTTTAGTGTGATGATAAATGTTCCAGGCAGGTAAGCCCAGGGAGCTGTGACAGCAACCTGAAGGAACTTGAAAGGCTTCTGTGTTTTCTCTTTCATAGCAATCAAATCTAGGAGTCTGCAAACTATGGCCTGTAGGGCAAATCTGGCTCACTGCCTGCTTTTAATGGCCTTCAAGCTAAGAATTGTTATATATATACATACTTTTTACTTTTTTTTTTTTTTTTTTTTAAGACGGAGTCTTGCTCTGTTGCCCAGGCTGGAGGGCAACGGTGGGATCTCAGCTCACTGTAATCTCCACCTCCCGGATTCAAGCAATTCTCCTGCCTCAGCTTCCTGAGTAGCTGGGATTACCCGTGCCTGCCACCATGCCTGGCTAATTTTTTGTATTTTTAGTAGAGACAGGTTTTGCCATGTTGGCCAGGCTGGTCTTGAACTCCTGACCTCAGGTGATCCACCTGCCTCAGCCTCCCAAAGTGCTGGGCTTACAGGCGTGAGCCACCGTGCCCAGCCTGTTTTTATATTTTTAAGTGATTGAAAAATTTTAAAAGAAGAATGTATTATGATACGTGAAAACTATGTGAAATTCAGATTTCAATGTCCATAAAAATGTTCTATTGGAACAAAGCCATGTCTTTTGTTTATTGTCTTTGACTGCTTTTGAGCTACAATGGCAGAGCTGAGTAGTTGTGAAAGAGATCATGCAGACTGCAAATCCTAAAATATTTACTATCTGGCCCCTAATAGAAAAAAGTGTGCTGACTCCTGATCCAATCCATGCTTAGTTTAAAATATCATGTCTATGTGAATTACGTCCAACTGTACATCTTTAAGTTTCTCCTTTTTTCTCATTCTCGTGCCTGCTACTAGAAATCAGGTCCCCTTTAGTTCTATCTTTGCAGCAGTATTCCTGCCCTGCTATCTCTCTTCTTCATGTCGGTTCTTCATTGTGTAATAAATAAAATCTGCACTGTTCAGCACAGCATTGGTAGTTCTCCATTTTCTTACCACAACTCACCTTGTCAGCTGTATCTCTTACATCATACTTTTTTTTTTTTTTTTTTTTTGAGACGGAGTTTCGCTCTTGTTACCCAGGCTGGAGAGCAATGGCGCGATCTCGGCTCACCGCAACCTCCGCCTCCTGGGTTCAGGCAGTTCTCCTGCCTCAGCCTCCTGAGTAGCTGGGATTATAGGCACGCACCACCATGCCCAGCTAATTTTTTGTATTTTTAGTAGAGACGGGGTTTCACCATGTTGACCAGGTTGGTCTCGATCTCTCGACCTCGTGATCTACCCGCCTCGGCCTCCCAAAGTGCTGGGATTACAGGCTTGAGCCACCGCGCCCAGCCTCTTACATCATACTTTCATCTAACCTTATCAGTCATTTAACCCACCGTTGACTTCTCTGCTGTAGGCCAACGCTCACAGTTACTGTCTGTGTGAAAAGTCTGTTGCTCGTATTTCTCTCTTATCCATCCTTTACGTTGGTTATCTCAAATGCCTCCTTGCCCTAAAAGCTTTTCCCAGCTTCTAGTCTGGGAATAATTATTGCCATCCATGCGAGATTCTCTAACGCCTTGTACGACCGCTTTATTCCAAATTCTGCTTTATAGTTTTTGCTCACGTTCTATTGAAAACTGTTTAGGGGAGGGATTTTATTCTATTTTGTTAATCTCTATATCCTTTAGGGGTCTAGGAAGAGTCTTGTTCAAATCTGAAACATCTTTCCTTCGTAAAATTCCTCATCGGGAGCTGGGACTGCGAATTTTTGCAATGTTTAAGAACTATCTGTCATTTAAGCAAAAATGCTCCACTTAACTTGTTTAGGGTTCACTAGCGCGAGTAAGACCTTTTTAGGACACGCTGTCTCGCAGGTGGTCACACACCTAAGGATCGCTGCCGGGACCCTTAGGTTTGTCTGCAAGCACGTGGGTGATAAGCGCTACCCTCCAAGCCCTCCTCTGTCCACGGTGATTGGCGGACCAAACGTTCCAATCATCCCTCCCCGCCTCTTTCGGCAGTAGCCAATCAGAGACCCCGAGCGCCTCCTGACTACTAGACACTGTTTACTAACAGAACGAAGCTGGGGAATAAGGGGTGTGACCGTTCTGGGGAGGTCAGGAAAGGGAAGGTCTTGACTGCGCGTGCGCGCCAGAGGAAATGGGCGGGGCAGAGCTTTGGGTCTTACCAATCGGAGTGGCCGCGCTCCTCCCTCTCCTGCCTCCCCGCCAAGCAACAACAATTCGAGGAGCGGGGCGGGGAGGCCCGTGAAACGTCACGGGGGACTGCCCAATGAGAACCGGCGTTGGCAGACGCGCGCGCCCTGTGCCCAATCAGTGAAGGCGGCTCGAATGGCTCCCCTACCTTGCTGGCTGTGGGCGGAGCGGCCTGAGGAGGCGGCGGTGGAGCAGGGGGCGGTTTGGTTGCGCGGTACTAGCGGTGCCCGCCGAAGGGGGAGGAGGCGAGGAGCAAGCCGTGCGGCCAGAGCGGGAAAGAGACTCGTCCTTGCGTCCGAGTTCTGGAGCTGCTGCACCCCGGCTCCTGGGGCTGCGGCAGCGGCTGCGAGGGGACGGGCGTCCGCTGTCTCCCGAGTTCCCCTAGTAGCGACCCGCGGGATCAGAAAAGGAGAAGATGGAGGAGGAGGGCGGCAGTGGCGGCGGCAGCGCCGCGGGGACCAGCGCGGATAGCGGCGACGGGGGAGAGCAGCTCCTCACTGTCAAGCACGAGCTGCGGACGGGTGAGCGACCCCGCCCTCTGCCGGCCGGGCCCGGCGCGGGGGCGCGCCTGAGGGCACGCGGGTTCCCGCGCGGGGCTGGGGGCGCGGGGCCGGAGCCGTGGGCGCGGAGGGGCGGGCCCGGGGCGGGGCGTCGCGGGCTGGGTGCGAGCCCCGGGGGTCCCGGGAGGTGGGGGCGCGTCCGGGGGAGGCGGCCGAAAGTTTTCCCGAGCCCGGGAATGAGCGGCGGGCACCTGGCATCGGGGCTAGCGCAGCCGCCGACCGCTGCCCGTGGCACGCACCTCCGCGGATGTCGCTGCTCCCCCTTCCCGCACAGGTGACACTTGTGTCTCTGCGTCCTGTCGGGGTGAAAGGTGCTCCTGCCTCAGCGTGGGGCAAGCGGCGCTTTGTTTTGGAGCGTGACTCCCTGCTCTACCCCTTTTGCTCTCCTCGAGGGGGTCCCAGTGGCCCTTTGTGGAACCATCCCCTAAGGTGCTGGGGTCCCGACGTAAAAGATAAATGGGGGGTTGCGCCTCGGGCTTTTACCGAGTCCGGTCTCTAGAGATACGAACAGGAATCGCGGGCTGCAGGGATTGAGTGCCTTTATTCTCACTTAACATGAAATACTATACTTGGCCTTGAATTTCCTTGAGAGGTCTCTGGAGATGATGGCTCTGTAAATTTCAAGCTCCAGGTAAAAGGAACGAACGAGCCGGCTTCAGCGCTTACTTTCTAATGTTTGAGATCACTGTGGTTGTCCTAAGCTTTATAACTAATTAAATGTATTGATTGTGTAGGTCCGGGTTTTTCATTTTGGAAAATGCTTATTCAGACCAATCAGTACAGTTTGGTTCATATTCTTGGAGCCCAGTCTCGTATTGGAGATCATATTAATACTTGTTTTCTCTGAACAGATAATACATTTTAATAAGTCGTTCGTTATTAGATATGTTTGTGAGCGTTGAAGGTTTTTCACAGAGCTTCTTTGGCATATTGGGATATTCTTTTTTTTCTTTTCTTTCTTTCTTTTTTTTTTTTTGAGACGGAGTTTTTCTCTTGTTGCCCGGGCTAGAGTGCAATGGTGTGAACCTCTGCCTCCCGGGCTCAAGCAATTCTCCTGCCTCAGCCTCCTGAGTAGCTGGGATTATAGGCATGCACTACCATGCTCAGCTAATTCCGTATTTTTAACAGAGAAGGGGTTTCTTCATGTTGGTCAGGCTGGTCTTGAACCCCCGATCTCAGGTGATCTACCTGACTCGGCCTCCCAAAGTGCTGGGATTACAGGTGTGAGCCACTGCACCCGGCCGGGATATTCTTTAATTGTGAAGGCACAAAGCTTAAATAGTAGGTTTCAGGTGTTCACCTAGTACATCTTGTTTCTGTTTTAAACCGATTGGAAAGTTAACTCTATTCGTCAGTTCTTTCAGTTTTTGTTAATTTCTACTGAGATTGCCTATTAGCATTCCATTGGGTGCCAGTGTGGTGACTTAATTCAAGAGAGATGTCAAATTTATGCTTCTTAAGTCAACATTTGTAATCATTGTTTTTTTGGTCATTGTGAATCTGTTTTATCTCTTGAGCCAGTTATTACATATTTTTGAGTTCCTAACATAACCTGTATGGATTCAGGTGCTTTGGTTTTTCTTCTCTCAGTTTCATAGACAAATATTTTCCAAAAGGCTCTTATATAGTTTACTCAGTATACATTTATTCTGATTTGTGGCAGGCTCTGTGTCAGGTGCTTTCTGGTGTGAAGATTGTGAATTTTTTTCTTGTCTTACATAATGATCCACTGATTTATATGTATGGAATCCTACTGTACAGCAAAAGCTACTTGAAGTCATATGCTTCTCTGCCGTCGGCTGTGGTGCAACAAGCAGCTTTTTGCTAAATGACCAAGGAGCAACCTGCTTGTTATTAGTAGTCAACCAACTGCTCAGTTTCTGGATTTTACGAACAATGCTAGTTTTGTAGAAAACAGTGAGTACTGCTTTATTTCCCCCTCTCTTTTAACTGTGTGAATCATCAGCTTCAAGTTTGCATTTTAGAAATTTTTCTGATGGATGGTGAGATTATACTGAATTCATTAGTATTGTTAACTGTCAAAGGAAATGAACAATCATTTTGATTTATTACTGAACCCTGGAACAACTGACCGGATATAGTGGTCAAAAACACTGTTAAAATATAACTTGAAAGAGTTGCTCATCTTCAGCCAGCTGCCCTTCCTTCAGCACATGATGTTATAATAGGCACCAAAGTAATTTGATCTGATATGGTCCCGACTCAGAATGTGGACAGGCATCTAGTTATATCAGGCTGGCAGTTGGTGGTTGCTCATTTTTGCAGAACACTTTATTGTATTCCGTAGGATGAATGAAAAAGCAAAAAATGTCCCATGAAAGGACATGGAGTTGGAAGACATGATTCTAAATCCCATCTCTGCCGCTTACTGTGTAGACATGTGCAAGTCACTTCACCCTTTCAGATTCGCATCTTTCATCTACAAAATATGAGAATTGAATGAGACACTGTTGGAAAAGTGCTAAGCAGGTTGTTTGGCATATAGTGAGCCCTTAGGAAACGTTAGTTGAATGTGCATATGAAAATCACTCCATAATAGCATCTTATCTTGAAGTGTGTGATTTAATCCAGTGTAATTTGGGAAACAAATCACTCATTAGTGCTTAGCTTATGCCACACTGCCTATTATCTTTTTCTATATATGTCCTCTCGTCTCATGTATAGTGTAAATTTGCCATAATCTTTGTGGCCACTTACCAGCCTGCATGTATCTCTTTAGTAACATTTAACACAGAGTCAATTTACTTGTCTGTGTTAGACTGTAAGGTCCTTGAAGACAGGCAGGCACCATGTCCTTTGTTTATTTGCAACCCCTGACCTATACTAGGTACTTAATATTTGAATGAATTCATTGAATGTATGAGAATCCAGGAGCAAGTCTAATAAGTTTATTGTATTACCAGTGCCTTGCAGATGTTACATGGTTGATAAGTGGGTGACAGTGAGTATAAAAGCTGAAGAATGCAGAGCATAGAATTAGGCCGGGCGTCCCCAAACTACAGCCCGGCTGCATGCGGCCCCCTGAGGCCATTTATCTGCCCCCCCACCCCCCCAACCCCCACCCCCCGCCACACTTCAGGAAGGGGCACCTCTTTCATTGGTGGTCAGTGAGAGGAGCACAGTATGTGGCCGCCCTCCAACGGTCTGAGGGACAGTGAACTGGCCCCCTGTGTAAAAAGTTTGGGGACGCCTGCCTGGGTGGCTTAAACAACATGATTTCTGTGGGTCAGGAATTTAGGAGTGGCTTAGCCTGTTGGTTCTTTTTTTTTTTTTTAATTGTAAGAATTAACACAGGAAGCTTCTTCGTTCTAACTCAGGGACTCTCATGAGGTTGTAGTCAAGATGTTGGCCAGGACTGCAGTCACCTGAAGACTTGTCTGGATCTGGCGATTACCCTTCCAGATGGCTCACTCACATGTTGGCAGGATGCTCAGTTCCTTGCTATGTGAACCTCTATAGAGTGACTTTTATGTTCTCATGACAGGCAGCTGGTTTCCCCAAGAACAAATGACTCAAGGGAGAGAGCAAGGTGGAACCCACTCTGCCATGTCTTTTGTTTTGTTTTTTACAGACGGGATCTATCCAGGCTGCAGTGCAGTGGTGCGATGAAGGCTCACTATAATCTCAAACTCCTGGGCTCAAGAGATTCTCCTGCCTCAGTCTCCTGAGTAACTCTGGGACTACAAGCATGCACCACCACACCTGGCTAATTTATTATTTTTTTTTGCAAAGACCGGATCTCACTGTGCTCACACTGGTCTCCAGCTCCTGGGCTCAAGTGATCATCCCCCTGGGGCCTCCCAAAGTACTGAGATTACAGGCATGAGCCAACATGCCCGGCAAAATTAATCCATTTTGTAGCATGCATCAGTACTTCATTTTGTTGTTGTTGTTATTGTTGTTGATAAATGGTGTTCCATTGTGTAGATGTACCAAGTTTTGTTTATCCTTTGACCAGTTGTTTGAAATTTGGGTTGTTTCCACCTTTTGGCTATTGTAAATAATGCTGCTATGCACATTTGTGGACAAGTTTTTGTGTGAACCTATGTTTATTTCTCTTGGGTAAATAGCAGCAGTAAAACTGCTGGATCACTTGTTAAAACAAAGTTAAACAAAGTGTGCGTTTAACTTTGTAAGAAACTTCCAAACTGTTGTGCAGAGCGGCTGTACCATTTTATATTCCCATCAGCAATGTATGAGGCCTCCGATTCCTTCACAGCCTAACCAACAGTATTGTCTGTCTTTTTGCTTACCATAGGAAGTGTGAAGTGTTTTGCATTTCCCTAATAACCCGACAAGCATCTTTTCATGTGCTTATTGGCCATTTGTATACCTTTGGAGAAATGTTGATTCAGATCCTTTGCCCATTTTAAAATTGGCTAGTTTGTCTTTTTTTTTTAAATTGAGATATATGAGTTCTTTATATGTTTTAGGTGCATGTGTCTTATCAGGAATATGGATTTGCAGATATTTTCTTACATAAATGAGTTGTCTTTTCACTTTTTTGATGGTATTCTTAGAAGCACAAAAGATTTAAAAAAAATTTTTTTTTTTTTTTAAATAATAGATAAGGGGTCTCCCTGTGTTGCCCAGGCTGGTCTTGAACTCTTGGACTTGAGTGATTCTCCCTCCTTAGCCTCCCAGAGTGTTGGGATTATAGGCATGAGCCACTGTGCCTGGCCTAAAAGTCTTAAAACTGTTCAGCCCAGGCTGAATGCAGTGGCATGATCTTGGCTTACCATGACCCCTGCCTCCTGGGTTCAAGCAATTCTCATGCTTCAGCCACCTGAGTAGCTAGGATTACAGGTGTGCGCCACCATGCCTGGCTAAGTTTTGTGTTTTTAATAGAGACGGTGTTTCACCATGTTGGCCAGGCTGATCTTGAACTCCTGTCCTCAAGGGATACATCTGCCTCAGCCTCCCAAAGTGCTGGGATTACA